TTTTTTTTTTTTTTTTTTTTTGTCATGAGTTACCATTTTGTGAGGGGTGGGATTTGTGCTGGGACGCTAACTGCCTTGGAATTGCTCAGTGAAGCTGGAGGTTTGAAGAACTGATGGCAAAGGAAAACAATCTCCACTGAAGCCCAAGTAAACAAAAGGCAGGCGGATCCGGACCTGGGCCACACATGCTTTTTGTGCTGCACACTCCAGAATGGTTTCTCAGAAGCTCAGTGGAGGAAGAGAACAGACTGCTGTCGATCCCATCTCCTTCTCTAATGTGAAAGAGTGGAAATACCCTACTAAGAGGTTTCTAGGGCTAGAAAGTCATAGTTGAAGCAGCTTCATGATTAGCCCTAGAAAGTAGGCTAAGATGTAAGCACTCTTTTTTATAAACTCATAATTCGATTTTTATAAGTATGCTTGACTTACAAAATACTAGTTTCAAGAACCCAAATTATACCAAATCATTTTCACTCCACAAATCAGAAGACACGTACAGATAATTCTTTTTTGTGGGGAGGTTTGAGACAGGGTCTCACTATGTAGTTGAAACTGACCTGGAACTCACTATGTAACCCAGCTGGTCTTGAATTCACAGCAATCCTCCTGCCTCAGCCTCCTGAGTGCTAGGATTACAGGCAGGCACCACCATGCCCAGCCTACATACAGATAATTCTGAAACTGAAAAAAAAAAAAGAAAAAGCTTCACCCCACCCCTCCTTCCTAGGGCCGGATATCTAGGACTTCTGCTTCAAAGTTTGGCAAAATGTTTTCTAATCCAAGAAACAGGTTAGACAATTCAGGAAAAATGGGGGTTTGGGGGGTATCCCCAACAAATCAAGTGCATAAGGGCAGACTTTTGTCCTTCAGGTTCTCAGGTAACGGGTTCAGAAACACTGGATTTCCCACACAGAGACTGCTCAACTCCCTGCGGTGGGAACTCAACTGGCTTGGCTTCTCAAAACCCTTGTTCAGCAGCATCAGGCAAGAGGTCACTCGCTCTGAGAAAAGGGGTCTCCCCTCTTGCTTATGCACTCAACCTTGGGCTCCATTTCTTGTCTGCTGCACAGACTCAACATTCTTTACGTTTTTTCCTTGCCAAAAAAGTATATTCAAAAGAAAGAGCTGTTGGATTTCTGTCAGTTCCAATAAACCAAGAGCTTAAAATACTAAAATTTCACTACAGAAAATATAATTCTGCGATACAGGATGTAAATCAAACAAACACAACTGTTTAAGTTGAACAGACGTCTGGGGAACCACCCGCACTGAACCTACTGAGGAGAGAGAAGACACCGGAGGCAGGACACAGGCTTCCTCTGTGGCCCCTGGGCTGGTCTTTGTACCAGTCACTCCCTACTACACTGCTGTCCCGGACCGCAGCAGGGTCTATGTGACAACAGCCCACATAACGGAAAGACTCCCTACCTCTTCCTGCCACTTGTCAGCTCACAGGGTGAACACCTAGAGGGAGCCCAACAGCACAAAGAAGATGATTCTGGCCATTAACTTCTAAAGACCCTGGAACCGTCACCAGTCTCTCACTGGAGTCTCTAAACCACCTGGAGAGCAGGAAAGTGGAAGTGGTGCTGGGGAGTTTTCAGAAATTCAGGCTAATTCTTTGGACTATGACTTGTAATAGTTAATGGATACAAACGGTCTTCACCTTTGCTTGCTGGGATGGTACGACATGAAGCACCATGAAGCAGAGCAGATTTGCCTAAGAACTCTTAAAAGTCTTACTTCTTGAAAACTCACTGTCTTTTAGTAACACTGAGAAAACTTTGCTGCTGGTTTAAGAAGTTACACTTCATACGCTTAAAGGAAAATAAGAAGAGAAAGAGGACAGACTTCTAGGACGCTTGAAAAGCTTGAGCAATTACTTCAAAGGAAAGGGTCTCTGTCCAGAAAGCAGGTTTATGACTGCTGATGCAAGTCCTGACCAAAGGCTGAAAAAGATGCTCTGTGCATCTTTATGGAGGGCTTAGAGGAAGATGAACCAGTCGATGAGATTCAAGGCAGCCAGAATCCTCCGAATGCCAGGACACACCGGGTTTTAAAGATGTGTTTTCCTCAGCACGTACTAGTGAGTGTCACTAATAACTTACACTACTGTAATAACCCAACTTGCATCTAACAGAGGAAGAGCCTATGTTTTACGATATTAGCTGAATCACTTTAACACCGTGGACAGAACAGCAAATGTTTTTATCATGTGTGTCTTTGGCACCTTCATAATGTTATATTTCTCATCAAATGGACTCCCAACTACTTAAAATTTTATACCTGGAAGGAAGGAAGAAAAGAGGAAACAGTACTTTCTGTAGTATACTACTCATAAGTATCCAATGAAAAAGTATTTCTTAAGATATAGCTCCATTTAAGGCAAAAGGGATTAATCATACAGGTAAAAATAGACCAGACATATATTTCTGGCAAACGTTTAGCTACTTTAAAAAAAAATTAATAAAGCTCTTAGTATTTCGGGCATCATCTCCTTGATCTTATGAAAATTAAACCACTTTAAAATGTGATGTAAAGGGCTGGGGATGTAGCTCAGCTGTTCTGCTGCCTGCCTCGCAAGCACAAAGCCCCAAGTCTGATCCCCAGTACCAAACAAACAAACCAAAAAAAACTGCTGTGAAGTTCTCAATTGCTAACAGTAGAGTGAATTCCGCAATTCATAAATTCACTATCTCCCTAATAGCATCTGTCTTAGTCATTTTTCTCTCCTGAGACAAAATACCCAACACCTGAAGTGAAAGGAAGAAAGCTCACTTTTTTTTGTACTGGAAATCAAACTCAGACCCTTTCATTTGTAAGGCAGGCGGAGGAACCACTGAGCTAAATCCCCGGCCCAAGCT